AGAAGTGGGATCGATGGGTCACATGGTAGCTGTATTTTTTATTTTTTGAGGAACCTCCTGAAAACCAAAAGGAAGGACACTGGGGAAATGATTGCAGGGAGGCTCTCCCCTGGTCTGAAAGGGGCCTGCGTGTCCCTGAGCTCATGCATCCCCAGGAGGCCGCTGCTTTTCCCACCCTCATTCTGTGCGGGGCGCCCCTTCCCTCCCTGAGTCAGCAGAGGCTTCTGCCGGGTCCCTGCAGCCCCCATGGCAGCGTGCAGCCCCCCAGCTCCCTGCGGGGGGAGGGTCTGCCCGCTATCGCAGTGCAATTCCATCTAGTGTTCTCACCAGAGACCTTTGCTTTCTGGGGAAACTGAGTCCCACTTAGGAAAATCTGAGCCATTCCCAGCTCTGCTCCCTTATATTTCCCCCTAGAAGGAGCAGGGAGGGAAAGAGAAAGACTCCGAAAATTCAGCTTGGACCATCCTGCCAGACAAGACACCTGTTGGTGGCCATCAAGATTCCTCTAGCCTGGCCGGTGTGGCTCAGTGTTTGAGTGTTCGATTCCCGGTCAGGGCACATACCCAGGTTGTGAGCTCAATCCCCAGGAAGGGGTGTGCAGGAGGCAGCTGATCCATGATTCTCTCTCATCATGGATGTTTCTCTCTCTCCCTCTCCTTGCCTCTCTGAAATCAATAAAAAAAAAATATAAATTCCTCTAATTAGCCGGTGGTTTTATTGTGGTCTGGTTGGAAAAACTAGACCAGCGGTCTGAGAGAGGCAAAAAGGCACCATTGTGGCAAGAGAGTCATGTGATAGTCCGAGCGACTGGCCCTGTCCCTGCCTCTCTGAAATCAATAAAAAAAAATATATAAATTCCTCTAATTACCCGGTGGTTTTATTGTGGTCTGGTTGGAAGAATAAGACCAGAAGTCAGAGAGAGGCAAAAAGGCACCATTGTGGCAAGAGAGTCATGTGATAGTCCGAGCGACTGGCCCTGTCTTCCCTCAGGGGTCTCTCGCAGAAGCTTGACGTCACCAGGAGGGCTGTAGCCTGTTTCTCTTTCTTTCTGTTCCTTAGTGCTGCCTAACTAAGTGTGTGATTAGGGACGGGTAGTGACCGCGGAGAGGCCCATCACAGCCCTAGACAGCCTGTGTGCCCCGCGCTCAGCGCACAGCGAGCCTGAGTCCTCCTGCGCTGCCCCAGCCCCCGCGGCATCAGGAAAGTAGAACTCCCCTGGGGGCTCCTTCTTTATTACTGTCCCGTCTTCATACCTTAACACGTTCTTCTCTGCGCTTAGTAAAGTGAGAGGAGACTTGCTTCCTCTCCCCGAGGGGCTGCCGGTCTCGGGTTTTCTTTCCCCGGAGGCAGCTGACCTGACCTGGCCAGAGGGGAAAGGGGACTTGGTTCCACGGTGGACGCTGGAGCCGCCCCGTGGCTCTCCACCTGGGCAGCTCTGTCACCTCAAGGGCATTTGGAAGTGTTGTCTGGTAGGTGGGGACGCTGCCTTTATACCCTGTACATTTTTTATAGGTTTTGCTTTTTAGAGCAGTTTTAGGGTCCCAGCAATATTGAGTGGGAGGTATAGAGAGTTCCCATATGTGCCCTGTCCCCACATGTGGACAGCCTCCCCCATTACCAACACCCATCCCCCCTGATGGTACATTTATTACAATTGATGGGCCTGAGAGGGGATGTCAATGCTGGTGTCCAGGGTGTTCAATGCCCTGCCGGGCCCAGCGCAGCCCTGGTGGGGGCTCTGCCACAGGCAGGCCGAGCCGGCTGCAGGGTTTCCTGGCCCATCCTTTGAGGGGATTGGGGCTGGGTATGCTTTGTTGACCTTTATATTAAGGCCTGTGGTTATAGAAGAGCAGAGGTGAGTGTAGGGGCCTGGGCATGAGGGCGGGCTGATGGGTCTCTGTGATGTGGGTTTAGTTGAATCGAGCAGAACGGTCAGCGGCCCTGGGAGGAGGAGGAAACGCTGAATCATCTGTCATCCACCCGGTGAGGCTAATGAGGTGACTCACACACTCATCTTCTCATTCTCAAATTTTTAATGACTTTTTTCTCCTTTTCCTCTTTTCTCTGTCTCCTTCTCTCTCTCTCTTTCAATCAGATGTTGGATCTCTGGATAGAGACTTTAATTTTCTTATCTTTTCTTTCCTATTTACCATCTCTTGCCTTTTTGTTTGACTTTTCGGAACATTTCCTAGACTTTATCTCCTACTCTTCTTTGACTTTCAAAGTTTGGTGACCATACATTCCAAGGACTCTTTCTTTCTTTTTTTTTTTTAAAAAATTTTCTTTATTGATTTCAGAGAGGAAGGGAAAAGGAGATAGAAACATCAATGATGAGAGAGAGTCATAGATTGGCTGCCTCCTGCATGACCGTACTGGGGATCAAGCCCAGAACCCGGGCATGTGCCCTGCCTGACCAGGAATCAAACCATGACCTCCTGGCTCATAGGTTGATGCTCAGCCACTGAGCCACACCGGCCGGGCCCAAGGACTCTTTCTTACACTCTAATTGTTCACGTTTTCAGTGTCATCTTGTCTTCTGGGGCAGTGCCTTCATTTACCTCCCTGAGGATGTTAGTGATGGTGTGGAAAGCCTTCTGCTGCCTGGACTGCCCGTTCCCTCCAGGTCCCCAGTTCTGCCATGCCGACGCCCTGCTGCCGTGTCTGCTGGTCCTGAGCTGTTTATTCAGACTTAGGCATCGGGCACCAGAAAGTGAATGAGATCTTGCTTTGTGCGCACGGATGGGGCTTGTCAACTCTCCGGCTCCACTAAGGCCCAGTGTGGCTCAGTGGTTGAGCATCGACCTATGAACCTGTTTGATTCCCAGTCCAGGCACATGCCTGGGTTGTGGGCTCGATCCCCAGTGGGAGACTTGCAGGAGGCAACTGATCCATCATTCTCTCTCATCATTGATGTCTCTCTCTCTCCCTTTCCCATCCTCTCTGAAATCAATGAAAATATATTTTTAAAAATAAGCTTGATTTCATTGTGAGACCCCCTTAAATGTCGATAACTCACTGTCGGTCTTTTTTGAGGCATTGTTTCTCCAGACAGGGTTCCCTAACCTCCTGCCGGGGGTGGTGTGAGGCGAGATGGGCGTGGACG